TGACACTTACACACAGACTGGGGAGCTGAAAAGAGGATTTTGTTTCCTCTCCTCCAAACCAGCCCTGAACGTGGTACTAAGAAACAACCAGATACTGGAGAGAAGATGTGCAAGGAGGGGAAAATCTGCAGGATTAGGATTAATGGCACCTCTTGCAACACACAGAAAAGRAACCTGTTTCTGTGAGTTTAGCAGAAGAAGGATGGAGGTGTAGACCTCTGGATGCCTTTCCCTGAATATGTGCCTGATTTACTTTGAAATCATCTTGGCAAGAAGCTCTAACTGAAGTTCAAACATAAGCCACAGTGGATAACCTCTGCAGAGCTCCCTCAGCTTTATCAGCACMGCTTTTCATACCTCATTGGCTTTCACTAGTAATGTTGCCTTTACTGGCTGGGAATGAACCTGCAARGGCCATAATCTGTCTCATGAGGATCTTCTCTTAAGGATATCACTAACAGAGATAGGAGGATCAGGACAGGCGGCTGCCAAAAAAAGAAATGTAAAAAAGCCCAAAATAACCAAGTACATTTGCCCTAGGGGACTGGCAGGTACATGAAGCTCTAAAAGTTATAGATGCTTTTACTGGAATTGTAGTTTGCATACAGATTTCTTTTCCCCAGGACAGGCATTTACTGAGATCCAAGTACTCTTTAAAAGGAATCTGGATGTAACAAATGACTGTTTCCCCCGGGGATTTAACTTCTCAAGTCCCCAGTCAAGCAGCAGGCAGATATTCTCCTTAAAGTTAAGAATAAGAATGAACCCAGTGGGCCCACCAGTGTGAGAGTCCAGGATGTCAGCTCCTTTTAGGCATCTGAAGAGATTCCAGTTAATTCAAGCTTCCATTCTGTGGCTGTAGCCACATAAATTCATCTTTATGCCCACAAACAAGRAACACAGTTCAGCAGTGCACCTTTGGATGGGGTTCTTCTCCACCTGGAGGAAGCTTGCAATTAAGATTAAAATACACACAAAAAGCTATGGACATGCTGACAATCGTGGTGCCCACCCATCTCGATGATTATTCTCCCCCACAGCTTCCAAGCTACAATCACACCAGTTCCTGCCATCGTTTCTGCCTTCCTGCCTCGTGGCTGGACTTTGGCAGAGTAAAACCTTTCATTCTCCGTTATGGGCTGCCTGCTTTGCAGCAAGTTCAAACACTCTAAAAAATGAACCCAATAGATTTTAAAGCTGTTGCTGTGAGAGTGCTTTGCTGGCTGCTCTCAGGTCAGGCTGTGCTGGCTGCTGCTCACAGCTGTAGTGGGATGGTGGAAAGCAGCAGTTCTGGGTGTGCTGTCAGAGCTGGGGATTCATCCTGCCTGCCCCTCTTTTATCCCTCATTCCCTGCCCAGCTCTGAGCTGGTGTGAGTTGAGACAGCTCAGCAGCTGAGCTGCTGGTGGGGAGTGTTGCAGAGCAGTTTACAAGCCCCATGTCATAAGCCCTGTAAATGCCTAGTAAAACATGGAATTTAATGGAAGCATATCAGCTCGTTTTAAAGCTCCTTCACCCGGTGCTGAGCAAACCGTTCGTAGTGCTGCCTTTTTTAATCAGTTACCACCAAATGTGTGCATGTGTGAGAAGGGTTTTAAACATTTCTCTGTCCACTTCCAGGTGAGTAACAGACAAGCCTGCAATCCTCTTATTATGCCTCCAAACAGAGTCTGTCTGCTGTTATCTGCAGCACGTATTATCTATTGTGGGGTTTTCGGCAGAGCTCACAGAACATTAAATATAGAACATTCCAGGTGTCAACCTCTAAGTTCTGAACCAATTAACTTAGAACACATTCAGCCATATTGGAGTAATTTAAAACTGATTTCCATTTATAATGATACATTCCCACCCTTTTTTTTTTCCTTACTGAAAACTTACACTAACAATTTAAGAATTCAAACACTTAGACCGAAAGCCTGTCTTCCATTTTCCTACATGTAAGGTAGCCACATATCTTAAAAATTACAAAATATGTTTCAGTCACACCGGTCTGGACAAAATGCATAATCTCACCCAATATAAAAATATACCTATTACAGTYTCACACAGAGGTTTGTATGGATCACAGAGTTAGCATGTAAAACCTGGAGAACATGAAGAGATAAAAAACCCACCAACAAACCTAATCCACTTCTATAATGGCATGAAAGGGAGTAGTACTGAGATTTTATTTGCCACAAATGCTGTAAAGAAAAGAAGCTGACAGGTATCATTACATGTCACCAGAGCAAACACAGAGCTATTCAGAGTTTGTTCAATTTTCCTGTCAACAGGAACAATATCAGCTAAATTAATACTTTGCAGAATCTGCAGAACCTAATTTATTTCACTAAAAGAAGCCAGTATGGCTAGTTCTGGATGTGTGATCTGCTTTGCAGTCTCTCTTCATGGTCATGGGTGCCCTCAATTTGAGGCTGAATCTTGGTCTGCAGTTCTTAATCCAGCAGTAGAAGCTTTGAACAATCCTTGCCTCCCTGATCTTATTTCCTTTGAAAGGAAAAGGGAAAGGGAGAAAGGAGAAAAAGGAAAGCAAAAAGGAAAAGGAGAAGAGAAAAGGAGAAAAGGAGAAAAGGAGAAAAGGAGAAAAGGAGAAAAGGAGAAAAGGAGAATGAGAAAAGGAAAAGGGGAAAGGGAAGGGAAAGGGAAAGGGAAAGGGAAAGGGAAAGGGAAAGGGAAAGGGAAAGGGAAAGGGAAAGGGAAAGGGAAAGGAACACACACTCCAGTAATATCACAATGGCATGAACAAAGCCCTAAGAAATACAACTTTAAAGGCAGATTTCCAGAACATTTACCCTATCAGTTCACAGTTCTTGGGCTCACTGTATTTCCTTCATTTATTTGCTTGAGTTGCTGCCTGCACGTAACTAGACAGTTAATAGAAACAGCCCTGTCCTTGGAGGCCAATATGAGCTGACTGCCTGTGTCTTTGGTTCAGCTCCATTAAAAAATCCGAGCATTAATTAATCACTGACTTGCAAATAGCTTGGAAGGGCTGTTCAGGCTAAATTGGAACGTTCTGCAATTGTTTTACTTTCGGTCACAGGCACTTCAGCAATGTGAAACCTCCTCCCCTGCCAGGATAGGATGTGCATAAATCCAGGGACAACTCCTGTGTTAGATCAGACTGGTCTAGAGACTATTTCAAGCAGCTCCATTTCTTTCACTAACTAGAAAACTGCACATGTGARGAAGAGCTGTCATAGGCAGTACTCTGGGTAGAATTCCTCCATTGAAAAGGAAATAATGAAACCTTCCAGGGTGAAATACCAGAGGACCATACTCCATGGGCAAAGAGCCTCCCCTGCTTGCTGTCTGCYAGGCCAATCAAAACCTGCTTATCTCCTCCTTTTTTTTACTCAGCTGARTGAAACTCTAGCTGCAGAAACCAAACTGCTGCTTGAGCTTTCCATGAGCCAACTCTGATGAGGACCTTGGAGTTTTCTGAGCCTGTTTTCTGTGCTCCAGCTGCTGATGGGATAAATGGAGAATGGAGCATCTCTGCCTGCAGGAGGCAGGGCAAGCCAAGCAAATGGAATTGTTGGATCCACAAGTGAAAMCTCTGCAATGTGAAGCACAGACCAGAAATCTTTATGGCAAAGGAAACTAAACCAGTGTGATCTACGAGTCATGAAGAAAAACACAGCCAAGGGAATCATGATCTCATGGGTATAGGGGCTCTTTCCACTCCTCAAGACTGTAAAAACTGGTCTTGATAAATAAGGAAGAAAAAATAAGCAGCTGTCAGCACAATAAGCACAAAGTGAGGAAGAAAATTAGAGGTGAAAATAATGCACCTCTAGGTTCTTGAAACACCAAAATACCAACTTAAGAAAATAAACACCTAAACCTAACAGTAAGGACATTTTTTTCCACAATGACAAGATATATTACATTTATGTATGTTGCAAGCAGCTTTTCCTTCAGTTAACTTCACCGGGTAAAAAAATTCAAATGCTCAAGCCTGGTAAGTCACTTCAAWATATTTATCCCCCTCCTTCCCCCAAATTTCACTTTCAGTGGACAAGTCAAACCAGAAAACCCCAAATGACAAACAATTCCTTTCCCTGCTCCCCGTTTCCCACTCTAATTCCCACACAGACAGCCCATATACATGGATGGTAAAGAGTTATGTCTCCTATGAAAACTTCTCCCTTGTTACACCCAACTTCCAAAATGCAGTGRAAAGGTAAATAGGCAATCACAGCTAATCTTTCTCCCTCTGCAGTGTTTCTAAACCTATGGAAATTTCAAAAGCTGCCAAGATAGAATGACAAAATGAAATAACACACCCAAGCTTGAAGWATGGGCACTGGCTGTTTGATTGAGCATGGTGACAAAAAGAAAAAGAAAAACATAAAAGCAGATCATAAGACCAGTCAGAACAATTCTACAAATTGCTGATACATTGAGATAGCCAGATGGATATGTGTTTTTTGAGGAATGAGACACTGCTTCTATTTGAGCACTCAAAAATGCCAACAACTTTGATGGTTTTGTTTTCACAATTTGACTTCCATTTCTTTGTCAGCTGGCACTGAAGATTTTTCCTCGAGGCAGCTGCAGAACCTAAATGGATCCTTTTGGCTGCAGTTCAAAGGCAGAGAAGATATTTTAACTCAGTACCAAAGATGCACTCTCAACTTGTCATTAAAACAATAGAACAAACACARGGATAATGAGAGAATAAGGAGAGAAATGAAGAAAGAAATGGAAGTGTGTGGAAGGGAATGGATCACAGGCTCTCCAGGACCAGCTCCTGTAACAAGTGTGTGAGACAATCTCCTACAAGAGGGAAATGGCTTATTTGATCTAATGCCTTTCTCTTCTTGAATTTCCACGGTACGGAGAATCAATATGAGGGAAATTAAAGCATCAGGAGCAGACTCACATTTCCACCTGTGCCGTCCCATCTCAGCAAACTCTCATGGAGACAGAAGCGTTTACCTTAAGCGCCTGGGCCACGTGTGCAGCAGGAGGAGGATGGATTTTGGAAGGATACAGGCTTCCTCGGTGTAGGGCACGGCAGCAGCGCTCCCACCCAGGATGTAGCTGTAGAATGAGACCTCCAGGGTGTAGCAGTAGGATGTGTCGTTCAGGAGCCCGCCCAGGAAACGCCGGCCCGTCCCGGCTTTCACAGCGTCCCTGTTGAACGACGTGCTGGACTGCAGGAGAGAGACACGGGGAGAGGTCAGGAGTGGGGCAAGGGAAGGAGTGTCCTGACAGAGAAAGCAGATTCACCCACAATGCCAAATCTCACTCAGATGGACAAATCTCACCCAGATGGCCAAATCTCAGACACATTGCCAAATCTCACCCAGATGACCAAATCTCAGCCAGATGGTCAAATCTCAGCCATATGGCCAAATCTCAGCCACACCATATGAGACCACACCTTTTCTTGATCATGGCCTGGAGGGGAAGCACAGTTCTGCACACAGGCTATAAATAATGCCTCACAGACCATCACAAAATCCATCTTGGTTTGCTGTTAATATCAGCTTTTCTCCTTCCATTCTGGATAACACAAAGCAAGGCTGAAAGCCAGCCTTGCAGATGCCCCATGCTCAGAAGTTAAGCTGTGCTGTTACTGGGAGATTGGATTCCTTCGTYTCTGCTGCATTCCCCTGGATCATAACCGTTCCCCCCACCCCTTCACCTGGACTCTTAATCAAAGCAGAAGCACAGTGGCATTTATTTTTGGTGAAACTTTCTCACCTAAGACATTTGACTGGTTCTTAAATTAGGTCGCAGAAATTTCCACTTCACTAACTTAAATGTTAACGGGGTGTTGCTCTCTGGGTGGAAAAATCTACCTCACTATTCTGCAGCATTAGCAGCACAGTATAAAAGGCAGTATTTTGTGCTGTTACTGAGGATCTGGCTTTAAGAACCCTACAGCTTTATGACTATTCATTTSAGGGGTGGAGGGGAGGACTCCAAGTATTTCCATAAATGAGTTTTAGCTCTCYTTTGAAGGCATGACATCTGGAGACTAAAGGGCAGCTCATCTTCAGGTTGATTGAAGTCTCAGAGCTTGTTCCTACCAGCTAGACAGAAAAATGGATTCTGATTTCATTTTGATTTTCAGACTCTATTCAGAAACCTCRTAACCATTAGACTGAGCCAATCTGGGCTCAGCACAAACTAGTGACAACCACAAAAAAAATGATCCAACTTGGATCTGTTGTATRAAAGGTCATAATATCTCCTGCTGTAAGAATTTTATGTTGTCAGTGAAACACAAAGGACCCTTAACACAGCTCATTGTTCAGTCATTGTGCCCATGGTGAATTCTTTGAGCTGTCCAGTGTCCTCATGTGGAACCTTAGGGCTGCTACCTTTTCTTGCAAATAAAATGTGAATATTTATGAAGTCCACCGCCTACCAAAACTAGGAAAATAAAATTTCCTTTGTTTTTTAAGAAATGCATGCAAKGGCCCAAAATGCTAAACTTTTCTAGACTGAGAAAATCAGGCTAACACAGAAATGAGCAGCAATTCTTGATGAGTAGTACATACAAAGAGAGATAAACAGTGGAAATACATGTGGGTTTATTAACATTCTGAATGTCTTGAGGTTTCTCTCATGTTGCAAAAAGGAAGGTTTTCCAGGTCAATTAGAAYAAAATGGAATTGTGTTTCTTATTAGCATTAAACATAAGTGGTTCCAAATGCAACTTGTTGCCTTTGTGGTAACGTAATATTTACCTTTGTGGTCATTTGTACAAAGAATGCATTCTGCTATGTAAATTTCATGTAATTTCTGCCAAATTACATGGCAGAAGCCTGCAGGTTATTCTGAATACCTGTGGGACAGGGCAGGAAAGCACTTATAAGTAATGTTGGGAAAATTAACTGTTAATTTGATAAAAGGGGTAAAATACTTAAAGAGATCTACAAGAGGGAATGTTCTACAAAAGAAACCTTCAAAAGGCTACTGAGATCCTGAAACTGCGGGGAGCTTTCTCCTCAGTTAAATTTTGGGAACACAAAGGAAGATGACCATGCTCTGGGGATTGCTTCCTGAGCCAAGTGAACGTGAACTTTGGTGGATGGTGCTTCATGTTCAAACAAACGCCTGCAGTGGAACTTGTGGTACTGAAAGCATCAGCTGCTGCTGGAKCCAGCTCAAAGGAGCAGGACAACAAACGGGCCAGGACAGGATATTGGGGTTTGTGTGCAAAAACATCACTCACAAGGGACTGAGCTTCTTCTGACACTCTATTTGGCACAGGAAAAACAAGGAAAATGTGGGAGGAAGTGACTCAGGGAAGRCATTAGGGACAGAAGTATTTCAGTGAGTAGGAGACTCAGCTACTGATATGGAACATTTGTGAAGATTATGGGATCTCATCAACTATGTTTAAAAACAAATTGGACAAGTATCTGCTGAGTGTAGCTCGTGTCTTTGGGATACAGTTTGCACATGAGGTCCTCTTCCTATTTCCCATTATTTTAATCAGGCTAGCAGAAAGTTATGAGTGGAATTCCTAATGGATCATTCTTGAGATAAATCTTACATAATAYTTTCATCACAGTTCTTGGCACGGTAAAGGAGGACCATGCCAACAAAATTTGCTGATGACACACTGTGGAATGAATCATCATTATGGAGGAGGTTCTGAATATCATACAAACGAAAAAGCAGTGGGATGACTTTGAGGGCCAGAGCGATTGTAGTCAGATGAAACTCAGCCACACAARTGCCAGGTCATGCACTGAAGCATAATAATAATAAAAAAAAATCTGCTATAGGCTAAAACCTTGTCAGCTGGAAGTATATGAAGAGAGAGTCTGATATGTTACTTCACTGAAGTGATTTTTACTTTCTAGCAGAAGTTAAATCTAGTTACTGGCAAAATTATACTTGTATTTCAAAAGTGAAGCATAAGYAGTTTAAATATTTTCAATAAGGTTTTGTAAATGGTAAAGAAAACCCCCAAAACAACAAAATTCAGAACTTTCCAGCCTGAATTTTTATAATGGGATTCTGTGGGCCTTGGGGCTTTAGGTTTTGTTTTGTAGGGTTTTCTTTCCTTTTTCTTTTAGTGTTTATGGGTGTTTGTTTAACAGAAGAGTTCAGTTTCATCTGTGCAAAATTACTTGAAATGGCAATGCCTTTAATAAAATCCTTCATTTGTTTGCCAAGTGGTACTGCATTTCCAGGAATAAAAAGCTGAACTTCCATTCCRGTGCACAAATGTAGATTTTGAAGGTTACCATTGTCCTCATTTTGAAAAAAAAAAAAATCTGATGGCGTTGACCAACTTGTTGTCTTGAGTAAAAAGTGTAATCTCTCATTTGCCTCAAGAAACTTGGGGTAGAACCTGACAAATTAATGTTTTGAAACAGCAGCTTGGGCCTGACTCTAGTACAAATCTTATAAGCCAAAATGTGATTTGGTATTTTAGCAGAGGAAAAGAAAATTACAGATTTAAAAAAAAAAATAAATTAGGTAATGACCAGAAAGAGCAGCAGGTCCTAGCTGAGTCCAACCTTCTGCTCACTGTTTTAGGTCAAGATAAATGAAAAGAGGAAAAAAAAGAGAAAACATCAGGCAAAACTTTGCTCTTCACCACAGTTGATCTTGGAGTTTTGCCCATGCACATTTATTTAATCAAACCCTAATCCGGGGAAAAAAGGGGTGGGGGTGACAAGAGAGGGGCAAGAACACAGRGAAAGTTGTCTGCAAACGATCCTCTTGCTTTTCTGGGAGAATCTATTTCCCTGAACCCCTTGCAAAGCTGCACTGAAGTCATCATTAAACAAATGCACTGAGCAGGCACAGCAGGAGAACAGCTAAACAAATATTTATTTCTCCAAGGCTGAAGCGCATGGGAGTGTTAACAACAGCAGCAGCAGTGAGAAGCACAGTCTGGAGGGTGGGGGGAACACCAAAGACTTTGAAGTTCTTAAATAGTGATATTTGTATAAAATCAACAGTAATGCATTATTAAAACACACAGATACATTAAAGCTCACAGAAGGACTTTGCTTCCCAGCTGGTGTGAGAAAATTCAGTGAACAAATAGCTATCCACAGAATTGGAAACTGCCAAGCAATCCAGCGTTAAAAGAGCAGAGAAGGAAGGGTGAAGGACTCCCTCACTTTCTGGTGGGAAGGARCTCACCAGAAAACCAGATTTCAGACACATTTGGGAGCCCCAAAGTGTGCTGAGGCTCCCTCTACACCTCAGGCATTAGTGGCAGCTTCCCCTGGCCTCYCTACCAGATTTCACTCCTCCTCCCCACGCTGTGCTGGATGTGGAACTGTGGGASCAGTTTCCCCACTGGGAATGGCAGGGAACAGCTGGGCAGTGCAAAGACATTTGTGAACCAGCTGGACCCGATTCAGACTTTGCAGCAGACAAAGATGGGTGGAAGGAAATGGGAAAGGAAAAAGAATTGCATGTAAATTCTTTCTGGAGTTGTTTCAAAGCAGGAAAAAAAAAAAAAAAACAAAAAACCCTCCTGCTAACAACGGCTGGAATGAATGCCCTGGGCAGGCCATGCTCACAAATCAGGCAGGGAACTGATTGCCTCTGAATGYCTGTATCAGCCACAGGAGAGGTCCAAAAAGCAGAGAGGGAGAAGAGCACATTTCTCACCCATCTGAGACTGAATCTGCCCCAGTAAACCCTTTGTAGCTCGGAGAGATTGGAATCTGAGTGKTCCTTYGTGSTGRGACCTCCTTTTCAGTAGAAGAAGGGATGACAAGAAGGGATGAAATGTCAAGCAGRTTGTGTCCAGCCAGTGATGGATGGGAGCTTCATTCTGCCTTTCACTGATGGCAGGACAAAGSGACTTTCTCATCCAGAACCTGCTGGGGAATGAATCTTTGGCATYTTCTGAAGCTGCTCAACACATTAAGAATAAATGAATGACCACAGTGCAAGTGAGACCTTGGCAGGCTCCTAACATGGGAACTGGGGTATGGACTGTACATAATTTCTGATCAACCCTAAGGTGTTCCTGCAACCCAGCAAAACCAGAAAAAAAAAGGGGAAAAATACTCAGAAAATTGCCAGCCAGGCAGAAATCTAGTCACAGACTTTGACAGAACGCAGAAGATGAATTTCTGGCAAAGCAAGGTCCAGGGAGGCTCCTGAAAACCAGGAGAGAGATTTTAGCAGCTGCTTGCATCTCCTGCAACACAACTGATTA